TTCATTTTTACAAAATTACACTTTTTTAAAGAAAAAGTAATTACTGAATGCAGAAAAATTTACTTGTCAAGTCCATCTTTTTAATAACAGATGTGTGCATGGTAAAGTCTTTAAGTTGTTTCTTCTGATGTGAATAGTGGGAATTAAACAAACAAATAATGCACTATTTTACAAAACAAAACCATTTCCCCCCCAAATAGTTTAGGGTCTTTTTTTCCCTTTCCATGACTTATTATGGTTGAATGAAGGTTGGTTTCATTTGGATAACCCATTTTCTTGGAATGGCTTATATATCAGTACTGAACTGTAATTACTGTTTCACTGTCCACTCACAACAGTAAACACCTAATCACATTAAGTGTCTGCCAAAATAATAGGATTTCAGTTGAAAAACCTATTATTGGTAGTATAGGCAAAATAAAGATAAGGAAAGTAATGTCATCAAGTGGAAATCAAGACAGGAAAATGGTGAGCAAGCACATAGGTATCAGAAATGCTATCATCTTGTTCAAAAAATAAATAATATATTAGAAATACAATATTGCACCTTTCCTTTACAATTATCACTAGCATCATGATAAGTAACATTAACAAGATATTTTTAGCTTTTTCCGGATAACACTGCATTGGATCAGAGATGGAAACACTACCATGTAAAATTGTCTTATTTGTAACTCTTATTCTGTGATAGCCTGTCAAAATTTTAATAAGGGGCTCTCACTGCACCTTGTACTTGACTAGTGATAAAGTTTGTGCTATAAGGAAAAGGGGAACAGGACTGGGAATATAGGACTGCCCTATACTCACCTTACTCTGGGGGTTGGCACTTCACAGTATTTTATAGGAGTGACCCTGCCATGAGTAGCCCCACCACATTGCCATCAGGCCCCTCCAGTCGCACGTAGTTTACAGTCACACCCAGATCGTCCAGTAATAGTATAGTAATAATCCATGTATGGATTATTAATAAATGACTTACCTCTAGTAAACACAGGCCTTTCTGCGCACCCTGCTTTACCTCAACACAATTTGGTGTCAGAACAGAACGGATCCTACATCCAAAGAGAATAGGAAAAAAGAGAAAAGGAAGGAATAAAGAGAAGTGTGGTGAAGGAATAGTTTATTTTCCTCGTCCCAAAAATAATTAGCACAGCTTCTGGACAGGTTCTGCTGCCAAGGCTGAAATGTAGGAGAGATAAAGAAAGCTATGCTATCTAAGAAGGACAGAGAGGGTAGGACAAGCCCCCTCCTGAAGAGGAGGCAAATAGGTAACAGGCAGGGAGAGAACATTTAAAAGGCATCTCAGCAGAAAAAGATGGGCTGCAGGCCAAAAACATAGCTAGCACAGTAAGAAGGCCTGTGAAAGCATAAAGGAAGTGCGACATCTTCATAGGAGCACTGATGATGTGAAGGAAAAAGTTGCCTAAGGATATGAGGGGGTGATGTTCATGGGGAACTAAAGAAGAACAGTTTGAAGAGTCTGTAAAGGAAGGCAAGCCATTCTAGGAGCTGCTTCAAAGAGTCTTGATGCGACTCCACATAAGAACTTGGCTAAAATATATATTCTGAGCAGTTTTATGTTGCAGCAGCACTTGTCAGCATAACCAATGAATATCAAATGAATCTTGTTGCAGAAAACACAAGATTTGCTAGGCAGATGACAGCCTGATAACATCAGTAAAAATTCCAGATTAGAAGGTATTTTACAGAGTAGTGAAGAAATTGTTTAATCCTTAATTTTGATGGGAAATTTAAGCAGACATCAAAAGAAACATAAGGCTGCACACACAGTAGATACTGTTACAGAGCTGATAATATTTAATTGTGGTTATGCTGCGAATGACACTCCTTCCCATCTCTCACATCCCAGTGAGGAACAGTTTATAGAAAACTGATCACCAGATCAGCAGTTGACTTAGCATCAGCTTTAACATGTGTGAAAACACGATACAGAATTTGTGGTAGATTAAAGCAATGGTAGCTGATTGCCTAAATGCAAACTAGAATGTCCCTCCAAAATACAGGTCTCGCACAGAGTTTAAAAAAGAACAGCCTCTGGACAGCATCCTATTACTGAAGACACAAAGACTGATCTTTATTTCCATAGTCCCAAACTCCTCCATCTAATTTCAAGACTGCAATTAGATGTCTAAATTTATCATTTAAAAAGCTAATGATACAGAAAAGGATGTGTGTTATGGTCCTTCTGCTGAAGTTCTTGAAGATGAATAAACCTGCTGAAGTGAACCCTGTTCTAGAGGGTAAAGAATTCAAGTCAAAGAAAGTGAAAACAAAGTCAAGTAAAAAATAAGGGGGGGTGGGACAGGACGGGACGGGACGTTCCTGTGGGCCATGAGAAAGCAGCAGCTAGAGGGGAAAAGAATTGAGAAAAATTGAATGAAGAAAGGATAATGGTATGGTTATTTGGAATGTAGTGTGTATTTTAGTCAAAATTGAATTATATAAAATAACAGCAATTGACTTTAAAAATACAATATTTTAAACATTATCTTTTAGTTTTCTGAACTGTGTACATATTGAAAACTTTAAAAAGGGTATCACACTTAATGCAACATGATTGAGCTACAGGGACTGCATTTAAAATTGGAGGGATATATTTGATATTCAGCATACAATACACATCACCTTTTATTAAAGTTCCTCAGCACAGATACAGGGTCACATTTATATATAAAACCTATTACTCAGCTTGTATGGTGTGGGGGTTAAAGGAAACTATCATCCTTAAGAATTTCAGCCCCAAATACAGAATTTATATTAAAATTGGCATTTCTGTTTAACAGGAAACACAATGGACAAGGAAGAGAGAACTTTTCTATCTTCTTCCTGTCCTTTGCCTGTCCGGGGGTGGGAGCACCGAGCTCGGATGGGCAGGGTGTGCCTTCCCCACCCCCTGTGGTGCAGATCCCTGGATTCCACAGGAAGTGGAGCCAAGCCCTGCCCCCTGCTTCCCAGTGGAGTCCCAGGATCTGCAAGGCAGTGGGGAAGGCAGCCCGTTCTATCACACAGGGCTTCCCTGTTATGGTGCACAAGTGCCAGGAGCTGCACGTGCACTGCAGGGAGCCCCATGTGATAGAGGAAGGCTGGCCTGGCTGCACTCCTTGCCACCACATGCAGCGCCGGCTGAAGCCGCATGCCGTTGGGCAGCAGCGCCTGCATGGGCCATGAGTGCCCTGAGTGCCCATCACCTGCTGCTGCTGCTGCTGCTGCTGCTGCTCATGGCAAGGGCTGTGCGCCATTGGGAGGGGGGCATATGGGAGGGTCCCCACCCCCCCTCACACCCCACAAACTGCACATACCCACACCCTGCACCTACAACTCTCCACATATACGCCCCCCAACATACCCTATGCCCCCCACAAACAGCCACACCTTCTCACAAATCACTCCCCACACACACACCGCCAACCACACCCCACATACAATATACAAGAGTAAGACTGAGTTATTATGCAATCATCTCTATATACAGTACACAAACACTAATCATAACAAAGATTTTTTTTGTAATTAAATTATAATACGTTATAGTAGGTGTTTGACTGTTAGTATATGATTTTTTTTTCTGGTTCCAAGATGGGAACCCTCCCCTCCCAAAAGAATTAATTCCAGGAGCATGGGGAGGGACTTCTGGTGGCAGAAGTCAGGGTAGGAGCAGGACATCCAGTCCCAAGATGGCAACCAGGGAGTGGGGCACCTGTCAAGGGGAGGGGTTACCCTTATGGCCCTTGAAAGTTCACCTAAACTCATTAAGTGGCCATCCAGCTGAAATAATTGCCCACCCCTGTTCTAGAGTCTCCTCCATGTAAGGATTTTAAAGTTCCTTACAAATATCAGTTGGTTACACAACAGTGCCTCATCAGTGATCATCTACCATTTTTATGGATTGAGAAAAGGAAACACAGTGAACTTAATCAATCAATCTCTTAATATTATGTAGAAAGCTTATGTGAAAGCCAGGAATAGAAACCAAGAACTCTCTGTCCCTGTTCTGAGCTTAAATATAAATGAATTACAAATATATTAATTTAAACATTTTTCACTGAGTGCATAATCTTGCCTGGTAGTGATGTTTTGTAGTCAAGTTCAAATCTTGAAGATATTTTCATACATCTTTTATATATTATGTTAAAAAAGAATGAAATTCAAAAGCCATCCCTGAGGCATGCTTCACTGGAAGGCAGTATACCAGTGTCATAGTATTGTAGTCCATAAGAAGTTCTGAACAATTTAATTAACTTTTTCAGAAATATACATGAATAATATAAAATGTAAATTTATATAATGTTGGTGATCTCAGTAAAAATCCCATATTCTTCTCTTTACTTGAACGATTACCACAAGTGCTACTATGGTGGCAGTTCTTCAGTACCAACATCAGAAATGGCTTTGGAAATATGCATATTTAGCTACCCAGGCATGATCCCTCCAAATAAATATTAAGCCATGCTCTTGGACAGGTGTACAACACTTGACCAGTATTACCTATGCTGTGTTTGTCTGAGTCTTAAAGTATAATTACATTCTTTAATTCCCTAAAACTCTGAATCTAGAAATATTTGAACACTACAACATTCAGTCAACCAAAAGGGAAACAACAAAACAAGAATTTAAGTTATATTGTTGCATGGAGGCCATGACACATTTTTTCAGTTTAGTACATTTCCTTTACATTGCATACAAAAGAGAAATTAACTCATTTATGACAGGTTGCAGATGTTAGTGAAAATAGAGTCACTTTTTCCATTTACATCAAAAACTGGAAGTGGTCAGATGAACCTGAGATGAGTTAAAATGCTTTAACAAACATTTGAGAGGTTTAATTGCTACTTTTAAAAAGCTCAGCTCACTTGTCTCAATATTATATCAAAATACAGTTTCATAGGAAAGAAATTCTGTGCCATATTTTGCAATACTAGAAGAGAATAAAATTCACAGTTCTTCTAAAAGATGTTAAAAGACCACATGCTAAAGATTACCTTACTTGATCTTTTCCAACTCTTCCTCATTAGCATTGTCTGTAAATGAAATAGAGCATTTTAATTACCTTTTACTCTGACACGCACAAAAAAGGAGGCCAACTGTCTTCCAAAGGGACAATCCACATTTAACCACAACTACAACTGAAGTGACAACATACATTCCACCGACAACTACACAGGAAGTGAACTCAAACAAACGACTTGAAGCAACATTCACACACGGGCAAACTTCACAATTTGATTTACTGAAAGTTTCTGGAGAAAACAAGGTAAAGCATATGAAGGGAATGAAAAAAAAGTAGGCTAACTGAATAGCAGAGGAAAAAAAAAATCAATGAGTAATTAATGATAATTACTGGATTTAAATTAGTGGAATTTTTGACCAATTAGTTTGTCATTTGAAGAACATATGCCCTCCACTTTAGAGCACTCTAGCTGCACTGTGCAGCAGATGAGGTCTTCTGAGGATATTTCCTGAAAAGGGAAATCCTTGGTTACCATGTAGTTATTGCAGGATTTTTAACACCACTTTTGTAATGTCTACAAGTGCTGGGATGTCAGCAGGGAAAAAGGCAAAGCCTCAGGTGCCCCTGGGTCTGACTGGTTCCTGCCTATTGTCTTTAGATACATTTCTGTGGACTAGGATCTGACAAGGTGCATGACAATTCTAGGATCAGGTGACCCCACAGTAGCTTAAAAACTTACATTCCTTTCTATGTGCACTTCACACTTGCACCAAATACTCATTGAGGGCTACAATGCATTTTTGCCGATGAAAATTTTCCGGATTTAATTTTCTTTAATAAGATATTATGATACTCTTACGTTTCAGATACAATAGTATAAAATGCTGATTACTTTCTATTGTATAGGGGAATTTAATATAGACCACTAACAAGTTGTGCATTTTCAAATTGCCAAGTGTCTATTTAGTTTGTAATATCCAAAACCTACTGAAGAATAAAAGTATGTCTCTAATAACCTTTTATTACTGGTACACTACACCTTCTGCCATTCAACTTACAAAATTATGACAGTTTTCCTGGCTCATTTTTGAAAGAAACAGAAGCCACCTATTCACATTATCTCAACAATTTGACAAAATTTGGCCCTGCTAGAGACTATCCGCTGTCCTTTCTGAGGGGAGAACTAGCATGGACTGTCCTCAAGTTCTTCATGATTAAACAAGATTGAGTCTTCTAGTCAAGAAGGTGGAACATTTAGATAGCTTCAAATACCACTGCAAGCAACTTACTTGAGATAAGGCAGAATTAAGCTACAGAATCTGCATTCAGAAAAAAATGTTAACATTAATTTTTGCGAGAATAAGTTTTCACTTAATGTAAACAAATTAAATGGCATCAAGTCCTGC